GGGGGAGCTGGGGGGGTTCAGCCTGGAGCAGAGGAGGCTGAGGGGAGCCCTCATCGCTGCCTACAACTGCCTGAGAGGAGGGGGGAGCCGGGGGGGTCGGGCTCTGCTCCCAGGGAAGGGGCGATGGGACGAGGGGCACCGGCCTCAAGTTGTGCCAGGGCAGGGTGAGGTTGGGCATGGGGAACAATTCCTTCCCCTTGGGGCTGTCAGGCACTGGAAGGGGCTGCCCAGGGAAGGGGTCGAGTCCCCACCCTTGGAGGGGTTCAAAAACCCAATAGGCCGTGGCCCTTGGGGCCAGGGTTTTGTGGTGGGATGGCAGGGTTGGGTCAAGGGTTGGGCTTGGGGATCTCCAAGGGCTTCTCCAACCCCAACGATTCCATGATTCTGTGATTCAAAAAAATCAGTCCAATGCATCATTTCTCAAGATAAACCAGAAGACAATGGAGGTTGGAGCTCATCTACTCAATGAGCAAAGGCCTTTTGCCCGGTGCTGCCCCCGTGGTCATGCTTCGAGGGTCCCCGAGGGTGATGGAGGGGAGGAGCTACCACCTTTGGGTTGGGCTTCACCAACGTACCTTCAGGTACTCCTGCACCACTTGCTCCGGGGTGTCCCCCAAGAAGACATAAAAATCCAGAATTCCCCCAATGGTTCTGTAAGTGACAGCCGGCGCCGGCTGCAGGGCGAACTCTGCGGGCGGAAAAGAGCCCAGAATTAATTTGGGATACGGCCTCGATCTCAAATGACCCCCACGCCCATGCAAGACAGACAGAGAGGGCTTAGAAGAAAATAATAAAACAAAATAAAATAAAACAAATCATCATAAAACAAAAATATTCGAGGAAATCCAAAACTGTTCCAGGAGCCTGGGACGCAGGCGGAACATTTCCAGCTCTATTTTTTTTCTGGAAATATCTGTATTTACGTTCCTTTAGAGTCTGGAAAGATAAATCCAACAAAATCCACAAATTCTCATTAGATTTTCACTCACAGGGTGCTTGAATATTTGTTAAGCACCTGTAAGGGCCTAGAAACTTGTCCCAACGTTGGTGGTGGGTGAGTTTAACCACCGAGGTCTGGTCACCATGGCAACCGAGTGGGACAGTTAGGCCCCTGAGGCAGCCCATTGGGTTGTACCCAACAAGAATGTGTGCCCTGTTGTCTTGGAGTACAACCTCTGCGCCTGCACCCAGGCCCGGGGTTGACTGAAAACATATGGGGAGGGGGCTCAGACCCCCCAGAACTTCCAAGCACCCCCTAGTGATGGTAGTCAGGGCTCAGTGCTGCAGCTGGTCGTGTTTAATGTCTTCATCCATGACCTGGATGAGGGGATCGAGGGCGCCCTCAGCCAGTTGGGAGATGACACCGAGCTGGGTGGGAGTGTGGATCTGCTGGGGGGAAGGGGGGCTCTGCAGAGGGACCTGGCCAGGCTGGAGGCATGGGCCCAGCCCAGTTGGGTGAGGGGCAACAAGGCCAACGGCCGGGCGCTGCCCCCGG